TACACAAAAATGTGCCAACACAAAGTATTACTTGTCAGTAAATGTGTTACTGACTTCATCAGCAACCTCTTCCAAGGTATTGATATTCATGTCACTGAAAAATTGTCACAGAGGCTGTGCATACCTGTAATGAGACTTGCCAAGGCCAGGAGCGTGGCTTTGCTTCAGTGCCTGATATAATTCTCCCTGCAGTGTTTGGCTGAAAATACCCTCTGCCACAGTTTGTTGGGCAGTCTACAATGCTCAGAGAAATACATTCAATAAGCAAAGTCACATCCCAACAGTGGCTCATTGATCCTAGACTCAGTGGCTCCTACAACTTGAAATACTGAGGAAGGAGATAAATATTAACCATAAATCCTTAGTCATGTTCCGCATACACCACACAGTCATATTTTGAATAACTGCCTGGCACACTTGGGATGTTAAAAATGCTGTAAATTTAAGAAATCAGAACATCAATGGAAAAATTTCCCATGCAAGTGTAGAGCTCACTGCTAAAATTTCAGAGACCTGTAGTTTCCTGAAGAGCTGGGTTTAGGGCTTAAAGCCCCCATGCCTCTCAGCCTGCAAGTGACTGGCTTTTGGGACGGGGCAGCCGCTTTGCGTTTGGCTGCTTGGAGGGTAGCTCAGATGCAGGCTGATGGAGAGCAGTTACTGTTCAATAACTGGGCATGAAACTAATTTTGAGTCTGTTTCAAGACATTATCTCTGGAAAACTATTTACTCCCAGGGACTCACTTTGCATTTGAATTAGAAAACAAACAAACAAAAAGCACTTGATCCTGCACAAATCATTCATTACCTCCTGCTTGTTACAGCAGGGTTGAGGAGATGAGCTTGAACTAGGCAAGGCTAGTATTAATCATCTTCAGCAAAAGACAGTTGGCTTTTATGATGCTAGAAAGGTGGCAAGTGATATAGGAAAGAGCTGGTGTCTGGCACAGGGTAGGAGCTTCCAGATTTAATATCCCCAATAGAGAGAAGTACTTTATTTTGTATAAAGGTATATAATACCCAGATATTCCGTTTTTCTATGAGAGAAATAACAAAAAATAAGAATCTAATGAGGAGAAAATGCATGGGGGAGGTACAGACCTGGTGACCCCGGTGGGGCGCTGGCCCCACCACAAACACCTGTATTCAAACACGAGGGAAGGGCTTCCAGGGAGGCAAAAGCAGAGGAGATGCATGTCCCTACTTTCTGCAGCCCCAGGCAAGGTCTCAGCCTCAGCGCTCAGGCACAGCACCAAAGGGCTCACACTGGAAGGGAGGGAGGCGTGTAAACAGCGTATAATTTCAAACAATTTTAACTAACCTAAAACTATTTTTACAAAGCTTCAACCGACTTCAGAAAATTTGTTCTGTCACAAGCATAGATTCAGCCTGTAGGAATTTTGGTCACTAAACATTGTGAACTTTTTCCCCCCCATATATATATGCACACATACACAGATACACACAGACACATATATTCCAGTCAAAACTGGAGCAGGAAAGGACTCTCAATGTAGGCTTAAAGCACAAGGGCTGTTTTATCTGACAACTATGCTGTGTTATGGCTCTAGGGATTGCTCTCATTTAAGTGGAGAAGTGGGTTGTTGAACAACAGGCACCACACAATCAAAACAGGTCTCTTCTGCTTTCTCAGAAATGCTTGTCTCATCTTTTTCCAAGATCCTTTTTAAGAAAGCAGCTACAGCAGCATGGCACTAAATTAACCTCTAATTCTGCTGTTAGAGTGAGGCTGATGCTGAAAAAAGCATAACATTTAGCAAACACAGATCATTGTGAAAACAAGGAAGAAATTACAACATAACCCATCACACCATGAATTCAAATTAATGTACAGGCTTTCCTAAAATTGGATTTTCTCAGGCAATGGCATTTGTAGGGTTTTCCAGACAATGTGAACACAAGACAGCGTTAAACTTACCTACAGGCAGGAATTTCTGCTCAGTCCCGATCTGGGCTGAAGCAGCTTGCACTACAGCCAGTGCCAGAAGCAGGGTAAGCAAATTACCTGCAATCATTGGAAAAAGCAATCAGAGGAGATGAAAGGACTGACTTTTTACACATATGTCATTACTGAGGGTGTTGTGTCTGTGACAGGGGAAGGACCAGAAAAGCCAGCTCCTGCCCTTGCTGGCAGGGCACTACAGCACAGGGCAGATCACGGCACCCAAGCCTGGATGGTTCTGTGTGCTTCGTGCACTGCGAAGAGCTGCCCGTCAGCAGTTGCGCGCTGGAAAGCACAAACAGAAGGGTCTTTTGGCAAGGTTCACTGCGCAGGGAGCTGTGGCCTTACCTCTGCTTTACAGTAAAAATTGTAGGAAGTAAGCAGGGACCAGAAAATGCAGGGGAGAAAGAGTGGGTCTGTACTGCCAGGCGGAGCTGAGCACCAGGCGGAGCTAGGAGATGTAATCCTGGCCAGCAGGAGTTCACGAAAGCGCTTGACCCAGATTCGTTGTGCTACACCACCTTTAACAGCATGGGGGACAAAATCTCTCCTTCATGACACCGCTGAGCCACCTGCGACGCTGTTGCTGCTGGAGTTATCTTTTCTGCCCGTAGGCGAGCAGGAGATGGCTGGAGCAGGATGGAGGTCTGCAGTGTCATTTTGTTGCTTGTATTTCCCCGCTTTGTTTTCTAAGCTTCCTTTGCATCATCTGAGTGGCGTGGCCCATAGCATATTGAAAGGCTGATAATAAGAGAGATGACATCTGTTTAGGTCACATATTTGATAGGATTAATGCTTCTAAAGACTTACAAGCTACAGCTTAGTGCTCTGCTATCTGAACACATTGGCCCTTGTACATGTGATGGCTGTCAGCTCAAGACCCAGTACTTCTACAGCGCAAGAAAGATGGAAGCCAGACATCCAGGTGACCTGGCAAAGCATATGCATCATTCCCTTCGCTGATGCAGACCGGCAGTAAAAGCCACAAGCGACTGCGTGCTTAGTCTTGTGAAGGAGCTCTGGGAGGAAGAAACGCCTCCACAGCACTGGTTTTGCCTGGGGCAGGGGTGCTCCCCCACAGAAAATGGATACACTCATTCCAGCTTGCAGAGGTGAAAAAGGAGCACACCCATCTTTACAGTGGCCAGAATTTTTGGCTGCAAGTTTCTTTTTTAGTGTGAAAAGGAACAAAAGTCTCACTAACCCACACATCACCCACAAAGTTTATCCGTCTCTTCCCCTTTATAAGCCACGCGGCTCTGTAGAGCTACCCCCTGTAGAAAGGCAGGGGAGCGGGATTGCCCCGGACTATAACATCAGCAGAAAGCACCACGGCTCCCTCCCTCAGCACGCACGCAGTACCTGCAGGCATGAGCAGCCCAGGGCTCTACGCATAGGCTCTCGGCACTCGATTGTCCTTATCTGCAGAAGGTCAGCTGGATCTTGTGACCTGTGTAAATAACAAGGCTTTGGAAAGAAGCTCAATAGGCACGTCATGTTCTTCATTTCAGATCCATAGTTCTGAATGGAGGGAAAAGAAATAAAACTTAGAAACTGAACCTCACTTCACTTAGAGTCCTAAAGTCCACTGAAAGGGAAAGACAAAAGTGATTGACATATTAAGTCCCACCAAGTTATTTGACTGGTACCATAAGAGTTGATTAGAATTATTTATTTCCAACTCATAAACCCACATGCTGCCTCCTTCTCTCTTGCCAATTAACAGTATTACTTAGCGCTAATAGACTGCTTTCATTTTCAAGGGGCTTAAGAAGACAAATTAATCACCTCAACATGTCTGAAAGGAACAGATGGTAATGAAGTATTAACATTGCAATTTCACAGTTGGAAAAGCTCCTGAGAGAGGGGGCTAGCAGTGTCTGGAGGGCACCTGGCCCCGCTCCCTGTTTGGAGCTCAGGTTCCTGAGTCTCATGTCTGCTCTGAGACTCTGCTTGATCCCAACCTCAGCGCGCATTGTTTTTCCTAAGCAAAGCTATGCATTTTTTCTTATTCCATCTTTAACAGGGAGTAACATCCTTCCAGAAGACCTCTTACCTCAGCACGTCTTCAGACAGGTCATTACGGCTCTGGATTTAAAAGACTAAATGTCTATCCAATAATGCAATTAGTCCAGCTTGCCATTATTTCTTACTGTCTATAAGCAGAGAAGTGATCAGGAAGAAATACCTTCCCCAGCCTGCACAGTGGAGATGCTTTTTTTTCCCCTGAAACACCTTCGGTTGCAGTTGGGCACAGGACAGCTGATTGCATTTTCCTCCCCACTCACTCCCACCTCTGAGGACCATGGGCGTGGAGCAGTGTCGCTCCGTAGGACCTTTTGGCTCAGCTGTACAACACAGGATTTCTTAAGCTATGTCTGGAAGGAAGAGAAGCTCATTCTAGAGCAGGGGTTCCTAAAGCAAAACCTTTGTTGAAGCGCGAGATCTGTGGCCATCCTCAGCAGAACCCGCTCAGGATCCAGGCTGTAGCAACTAAAGGTCTCTTCCAGCAGCATGAGGCCAAAGGCAAGTGGCCTGCAAACACTGCAGAGAGAGCCCCCAGCACCCCTGTCACAGGGCTGCCAGCTTTGGAGAACCCTTCAGCTGCGCACCCCCGTCCCCGCTGGCATCCCCTCATCGTGCTGGGGACAGCAGGGATCCCTGGGGAGTTTGCTACGGGGGCACCTGTGTTACTGGGCCCGGAGTGAATTTGGTTAGGTGGCCCTTCCACCCGATCCCCAGCCATTAAGCAACGTGTCACAAACACAACTCCGGGAGGCCTTTCTCAGAACAAATTAACATTTTTCAGGAGAAGACCACACAAATAAATACAATGATTTTAAAACTAACTGATATGACATTGACTAAGCAAATTGTAAGGGTGTTTTTTGAAAGAATTGACTTAACTATGGGGGGTTTTTATTTAAAGCATTGACAGAATATCCTCTATTTCAGTATTTAACCCCGCAACCAAAGATTACCTCAAACTACAACTCTGCAATGTTAATCAAGTCAGTCAGTGGCAAATGTCTGACAGGTTTTGGCCTCTCCTCCAGGAATAGTAACAGTAAATATGGCGATGCAGTTCCTTTGTTACTAGAGAAAGATCATAATTCAGAGTGAAATTAATTATTATAACTCTTTTTCAGAGCTACTTCATCAGTATACCAATATCAGTACCCTTCAATCTGTGCTGAACCACGGACCTAACCGTCTCAGCCCATTATCAATCCTATGGCCTTCAAGTAGTATATACAGTTCAGTGCTTCTAGAGACACTAGTTAGCATCTAGGAAGGATATAACACATCCAAAATACTGCATTACCAGGTGG